TGGAAGCCAATCCAGGCCAGTCCTAGCCAGTGCTGCTCAGATTATCCAGCCAGTTCTTGGATGCCTCCCTCCAGTAATGGGGAATTCGCCACTTCTAGAAGCATCTCATTTTTACCCTACTTTAAATCCTTCAGTGCACTCCATTGCTCTTGATATAAAGTCCAACGCTTTTCTGAGGCCCCACAACCCTCCAGGAACCAGCCCCTGCTAACCTCTGACCTCGTCCACTGTCCACCCCTTGGTCCCTCACTCTCTCCTTGCCATCTCTGCTTCTTGAAGACATCACTGTTTTCTGTTGCATGCAAGCTTTGTGCATACCAGTCCTTCGGCCAGGACTTCTGTCTGTTCCGCCCCCTCCTCATCCAGTGAGCCCCTCCCGATGTTTCAAGTTCCAGGTTACATATCACCTTTCTAGGGATGCCTTCTTGAACCTCCCAGCCTGGGCTAGAGACCCCTAAAACTGCTTGGTAAAGTGCTCATCAGTCTTGTAATTAGTTGCTCATTTAGGATTTAGTCACCCTATTTTTCAGGAAGGTGGGGAGCTGTCTGATTGGTGCTTCTGTCTTCCACACCTCACACCAGTGAGCGGCACATACGTGGGAGGGCATCCAATACATGTCCACTGAATCGAAACTCTGTCGGTGCCTCTCTGCTAGACAATTCTTCCTTTTTTTTTTTTTTTTTTTTTTTTGGGGAGATAGAGTCTTGCTCTGTTGCCCAGGCTGGAGGGCAGTGGCACAAATCTCAGCTCACTGCAACCTCCGCCTCCTGGGTTCAAGCGATTTCTCCTGCTTCAGCTTCCCGAGTAGCTGGGATTATAGTGAGTGCCACCACACCCAATTTTGTATTTTTAGTAGAGACGGGGTTTCACCGTGTTGGTCAGGCTGGTCTCAAACTCTCGACCTCAGGAGATCTGCCCGCCTCACCCTCCCATAATGCTGGGATTACAGGCGTGAGCCACCACGCCTGGCCCACTTCTTCCTTTTACCAAGCTCACCCTACTCCAGCAGTGAGCACTGTCCTCAGCCCCATTCTGCAGCTAAGGAAACTGATGATGGCAGCTCTGGCTACAGGGCCGGGCGGAGTGATGGGAGACAGCAGCAAGAAGCGTGGAGCCTGGCCCTGCGCGGTGCAGGGGTTAAGTCCCAACAATGATTAATTTTGTTGCCGCTGTGGGTATCATTATAATAGTCAAGGTATTTCATGGGGAAGAAAATAAAGCACCTGCCAAAAGGAGACGGTGACCAGGTGATACGTGCAAGCTCAAGCTGAAACGTCAGCTTCCTGAGAGCAGGGGCCCTGGTTCTTTTTCCCCAGGTCTGGGGACTGTAGAGCAGCGTCTGACTCCTGCAGGGATGGCACAGAGGGCTCACCAGGTTCTCAGTGCTAAGTTCCAGCCATGTACCATCTCATTGAACACTGCTAGCGCTCCCTGAGGTCACAGCGCTCACTATTCCCAACTCACTGACTGGGCCACATGCCCAGGGAGGCTGCCTGGGTTCAGGTAACAGAACAGGCAGGTAACCAAGCCAGGGTGGGACCCAGGTCTGTCTAATTCCAAAACCACCCTCTGTGGCACCTTCAGAATTCACTTCCTTCTGAAGAGTCCCTAAACTCAGCTTAGCTGCCCTCAAGTTCAAACCAAATTTCATGGTTTCTCCTTCCCTTTGCATTGGGCTATTGATCTTCATTTTCCAGGCTGGTTTTGGCAGTGAACCACGTATCTTGGAAATTTTATCAGGGGCTCCTTCTGGCTTTAAGTTTTCATTACCATAGTTAACTTCCAATACATTGCAAAAATATTTCTTCACGTGTAGCTTCTAACTGGTTTGCCCTCCAGATGGTTTTGAAATCAAGGAAGCTGCTATATTTGCCTTGAGCTGGTTATTTTAAATTTCAAGATGACAGCCTCCGTCAGATAAGTGACATGGCGGTCACGACGATTCGTCTTTGAAGAGCATGTTGCAAAGCAGCGAGAGGAAGTTTCTCTTGATCATTTTTTCGTTTTAAATAACAAATACAATTACAGGTCTCTATTCACACTAGATTTTTGGATAAGTGTATTTAATTTTCTTCTCAGCTTTTATTCTTGGTTTCAAGATACAGCTTCACATCAACAACTAATTTATTACAGAATAGCCTGTGATTTTGACCTAGTTAATCTGACTCTAAATGGTAACTTGCCATCACAAAGTATGTGGTGGGAGATAAAAGCAGAACTGAAATTAGAAAGAAAAAAAAAAGTGCAAAAGGAAAAAAAAAGCAAAAAAAAAAAAAAAAAAAAAAAAAAGGCAGCAGTTATGGTTTCTCATTTCCCTCTCCAGCACAAATTGTTGAGCAATGAGATTTTTAAAAGCCAGAAATTACTGTGGAGCGAAGCAACACTGGCAGCTGGAGGACTGGCACCAGCCACACCTGGCCTGCCAGGGTTTGGAGGAAGGCTCGCTGAGTGGGTGACTCCTTGTACCACAGCCTGGCTCCTGTGGGCCACCATGGGGACATGTTTAAATACAAGAGGGAGGGAGAAGAAATGGGAAAAAAATCAACATCCAAGTTAGAAACTACCTAAGCTATGCTGTTTTTCTTGGGGCCCCGCTGTGCCTTTGATTTACTGATCATTCAGAGCAATAATAACAAAATCCATCCAACCCAGTGATTTTTCACAGATTCATCTGAAAAGCTACCAGTTGGGTTTGATCTGTTCATACCAGTGATTCTCAGCTGGGGGCCCCTTTATCCCCAGGAGACACGTGTCATTTCTAGAGACATTTTCAGTTACCATAACTAGGAGGAGGAGCTACTGGCATCTGTAGGCAGAGGGCAGGGATGCCGCTAAGCAGCCCAGAATGCACAGGATGGGCCCTTATCCCCAACAAAGAATCATATGGTGCCAATGTCAATAGTGGCAAGATTGAGAACCCCTAACCTGTGTGTACCCAATCTGAATTCCCTTGGTGGGGTGGCTGGTGTGCCATTATGTATAAAGTTTTTGGAACCTGGAGACATGAAATTCAGGCATGCCTGGCTCAGGTACCTAAATTATGTAAGTAGCTGAAGGATTAACTGGGTTCTGTCTTCTTTTGCTAAAGCAAAAGGATCTCATCATCTTGTGATGCAGCCAGTGATGAAACGAACTTTGGAAAGAAGCGTTTGGTGGAAAATAGTGCCCAGGGTAGAGCTGGGAGCTGCAGCGGCAGGCTGAATGGCATCCTCGCCCTCTCTAGCAGTTGTGTCTGAGTTGAGGGCAGGTGGACCCCAGAGCAGGCTGCCCCCTTCTCGTCAGCCCCACTGGGCACTCTTGGCTCCTCTGCTATTGAATGTGTCTGACTTACTGTGGTGAATGGTCACTGAGGAGCTGGGCAGCAAGACTCCTCAAGAGCCAGCCAGGGCTCTACACTCAGTGATTTTATTGGCATGACGGGAAGCTTGGGCCTGCCAAAGACAACAGCCCTGTGCTGTGACTGAGACTGCAGGTTCCTGGGGCATGTGACCTACTGCTCTTGACTGTCCCATTCCCACTGGGTGCAACGGCCTGGAGGAGGTGGATGAGAGCAGTCAGGTGCCTGCATTCCCGTCCCGTGTTCCCTAGGTCAGCACCCAGCAGAGGTGCGTTTCCACAGCTGTCCCCCTTGTCACCCTTTCCAGTTCCCATTTTCCTGCCCTTTCCAAAGAACCAGCATGGCTGCCATGGTCTATTTTCATGCTGATGATCAACTCTGTGGCCAAGGACAGCTGTGTGACCTCTTGCTTTCAGACAGGCAGGGAAAGCAGCTCCTGGATGAATGTCCCTTTCGACGGCTGCATCTGCAACTCTTTAAACTGTAGAGGCAGCCTCCCTTGACCCTCCTTCAAACCCCTGCCAGCTCTTCTCAAAACAGTTTGCTTAGAAATTTGGGGGCTGGCAAGAAAAGACTGTGATTCAAGAGCTCCTTGAGGTGACTTGGACTTTGCCTCTCACCTACAAATGGAGCAGAGCATGCTCTGTGGGGCTGAGCAGGCCCTCATTGCCCCAGGGTTCTCAGCTGTCACTCCCTGAATAGGAGCTCAGTGCCAGGCAGCAAGCAGAGTGCTCCTGCTGCACGTGCTCTTGTAATCTTCACAATCATCCCAGATGGAGGAGGGGATTCTGCGAGCCCATTTCACAGGAGGGAAAGTCAAGGCTGAGCGAGCAGATGGCCGTGCTTACCCAAGGCCAGGCAGGTTGATACATTGATCTGGGCTTCCCAGTCAGGTGTTCTAACTCCAGGGCCGGAATTCTTATCCCTTCATAATGTGAGGGTGCTTGGGGGTGAGCCCCCAGCCGGACACACTTCAACTGTGGTTACTGTCATTTTCCATGGTGCCTGGGCCCTGTGATGGCACACTCTAGTCAGCTGGCATTTGTACAGTTTTGTCTACCCTCCTCCCCACCCCCACGAAGAGCCACTAGGGAGTACCTTAGTCCTGGAGAAGGCACTGCCTCCTCTACCAGGGGTTCCCGAAGCCCCTTGGCCCCCTTTGTTAGGCCTGCTGGGCACAACCTGAGCCAGGGGTCACTGCGGCTCCCTAACTTCTCCCCCAGTCCTGCTAGGACATCGCCCCGACCCCGCACAGGTCAGCCCCGACCACGCACAGGTCAGGATTCCGTGGACAAGACCAACCCCAGCAACCTTGGTCTGAGTGGTCTGGGCTTGTCCCGCACCACGGGGGTCTCAGTGGGCCTGGGATCCTCCTGCATCTTCTTGGAGGCCCCGGACCCACTGGGGCCCGCACAAGGGACCACTCTGGGTACCTACGGGCCGGGCCCCGACAGGTGCCGTGCACAATGTGCGGTGACGAGACTCCCTCCCGCGGGGCTCAGGAAGCTCCTGGAGGCGCGCAGGTGCCAGCCAGGTGAGGGTGCAGAAGGGCTTGCAGGGCGCAGGGCCGCAGTCTCCAAGGGTCCTTGAGGGACATCAGACGGCGAGCTCCCTCCCTTCCGACCTCAGCCAGTTTGCCGGGTGGGGGAGGGTGGCACCTACCTCCCAAAAGCACCAGGACGCAGGCGTAGGGGAGCATGGCTGTGGGTATCCCGTCGGGGCTGGCAGGACCGCCCGCCAGGCGCCGTCACGGTGCGAAAGGTGAGGCGCTGGCGAGGGGCTCGGACCGCAGCGGGCGCCGGCGGCCAGGCTGGGGTCCTGCGAAGAAGTTGCAAGGGTCCTGCGCCCCCCTCGGCGCTCACACACCCTCAGCCTCCCGGGCTGTTGATAGTTGTAAGCGGAGCTGCGCACTCATAGGTCCAACTCGCCAGAAGAGGTGGAGACAGCCCCCGGCGAGGCGTGCACACTCGCGCAGCGCGCACAGCCCCCTGGCGCAGCTTCTCCTGCCATTCAGACCCCCAGCAATCCCCCAGATGTCTGTTCTCTGGCTGCCGCCTTCTCCAAAGTCTTTGCAGTGGGCAAGGAGGCCTCCCGCAAACTCTGGTCCCAGCTAACCCAGAGCGATGCGCTCCTTGCGCTAAAGCGCACCCCTAGCCAGGCCGTTCCCTAGAAGGGCAAGGCGGGTGGGGAGTTCCTCTAAGCCCCACGAGTCCTGGGACCCTTGAAGTTTCTATTCAGATCTTCCAGATACTCCTGGAAAAGTCGCGTCAACTTGGATCCCAGCAAGCGCAGAAACGCAGTGGAAGTGGCTAACCCAGTCGCCTAAAGCCAGCGCCGGCTGCTGTGTGTAAATGAGGTCGTCGCCAGCTCCCCACCAAACCAAAACGCATCCAGGCAAAGTGTGGAGCCGACCAGGCGTGTTTTCCTCCTCCTCCCAACTCCTCCTCCTGCCCCCCTCCTCCCCAAATCTCATCTGAGTGAGTCAGCTGAGGGTGGCAGCTCAGAGGCGAGGCAGCCGTGAGGCGGAGGACAGGCTGGGGTACCCCAATGGATCCGTTCCTTCCCCCGCCCCAGGCACTGGGCCTCTTTGGTGGCACCCTGGGTGGCAGACAAGCCTGGAAATCAAGTGCACCGGGCCTGGAAAGGAGGACCGGGAGAGTTATGGGACTTATGAAGGAAGAAGAGAAAGAGAATCACTTGGATGGGAAAAGTTAACTGGATTGTTCCCACCTGCATGGATCATCCGGGTAACTTCAGTGGGACCAAGGGGGTGAGGCTGCGCGCTACGGGTGTGCGGGTTTCCTTGAATTGCCAAGAACAGAGAGAGGGAGAGGAAGAAGCTGGAAAGCAAGAGGAGAAAAGGGAAAGGAAAGAAAGTAAGAGGGGAGAGAAGGGAAAAGAGAGGAGAAAGAACAGAGAACCAAAAGACGGAGAAAAAGAAATGAAAGGGAGAAAAGGGTACACAGGCAGAGAAAGGAAGAAAGGTAAGGGAAGAGAGAGAGAAGGAAGGAGTGAAATCAACAGAAAAGAGAACCAGGAAGGGGGAGGGAGAGACAGACAGAGAAAGAGACAGAGGGAGAAAGAGAGAGAGAGAGAGAGAGAGAGAGAGAGAGAGAGAGAGAGAGAGAGAGAGAGAGAGAGAGGTGTGGTCTCTCCTTGGGGAAAGGTTTGAGGAAGAACCGGGCCAGGCCCGTTTCAGGGGCTGATGAGCGAGCACTCCACCTGCCCCTCTGAAGCGTTTTGTAGACTCATCTGTCCCAGTTTTATGGTCTGATCATCCCACAGGGGACCAGGGGACACCACCTCACCTTTTGATGTCTTACCAGAAACTTGGGTGAGGCTCCCAGGAGCCACAAGACCCTTCAATCCAGCCAGGGACTCCTGACACAGGCTCCGCGGCCGTCCGTCCTTAGCTTTCCTCCTCACCAAAGGCCTCAGGGAATAGGGAAAAGTCCGGAGCAAGGCCACAGCATGATCTCATGCAAATTGAAATGTGAGGAAAACGATCAATTGTCTTCCTGAAAATGACATTTTTTTTTTTTTTTCTGGTTTCTATGAGACTCGAGGTTGCCTTGCTGAAACTGAAATCGGTACAAGCTTTCCTGGGCAGACAATGGCTACAAGCCACATACTAAGTTCTCACGAAAGGGATAGCTTTTGTGTGCAAGAGGAGCGTCGTGCAGGGTGATTATTTATAATTGCATAATTGTGATTATTTGTGGCAATTATGTGTCTTTCAATATACAAAATTTACAATTATGGGTAGTTTAAAAACTGCATGCTAAGGCCAGGCACCGTGGCACACACCTGTAATCCCAACACATTGGGAGGCTGAGGCAGGCAGATCATCTGAGGTCAGGAGTTCAAGAGCAGCCTGGCCAACATGATGAAACCCTGTTTCTACTAAAAATACAAAAATTAGTGGGGTGTGATGGTGGGTGTCTGTAATCCCAGCTACTCTGGAGGCTGAGGCAGGAGAATCGGTTGAACCTAGGAGATGGAGGTTGCAGTGAGCCGAGATCACGCCATTGCACTTCAGCCTGGGCAACAAGAGCGAAACTCTGTCTCAAAAAAAAAAAAAAAAAAAAAAAAAATTAAAACTACATGCTATTCTGGCCATGACCATTTGAGACTTCAGTCTCTGGGCTTTCTGAATGTGGGTATTTCAAAGTCTTAGGTGGCTGATGGGGGTTCAAGCATTAGTGGCTTCTCATGGGGAGGATGGGTATTACATGGATGTCTTAGGTAGGGTCATAGTTCAGTATTTTCAGAACATATTGCTATTAGAGGTAGGAACTTTTCCACAGAGCATGGTGCTCGTGTATTAACAGCTGTTTTGGCTTATTTATAAATGAGAGGATTTGCTGATAGTTATTGAGACTGCGGCATGGGTCAGGCCCTTGGTGGGCTGAATACTTTATATGCATGTACTTTATATCTGAACAAACTGACAAGAAGTAGGAATTTTACAAACTGGGGAAACTGAGTTCAGAGAGTTTGGGCCACTGTCCTGAGGCCAGTCAGCTGGAAGGTGGCAGGACTCCCGGATCCTGCCTCTGACCACTGTGCTGTGTCTCCAGGGCATGTCCTATCTCACTGGGCTGTTTGTGCCGTTCAAGGCCTGTTTTCTAGTAATAGCCCCTCTTCAAAGAGGCATGTGAATAATGGGGGAAACAGGACTCCAAAGTACTTTTTCTATCCAGTCTGGGCGACATGGCAAAACCCCATCTCTACAAACAATACAAAAATTCACCAGGTGTAGTGGCACATTCCTGTCATCTCAGTTTCTAGGGAGGCTGAGGTGGGAGGATCTCTTGAGCCTGGGAGGTCAAGGCTGCAATGAGCTGTGATTGTGCCACTGAACTCCAGCCTGGTTGACAGAGTAAGAATTTTTTCCAAAAAAAAAAAAAAAAAAAAAGTGCTTTTTCTAGATCCTAGCTAAACCCCAAGTGTTGAGGCTGAGAGTTACAGGTGGGCCCCGTGCAGGCTGCGTCCTCACTCTCGCTATGCGGTAACATTTGGGAGGACACGGGCGGCTGGAAAGGGCACTGGAGGCTGCCAGGTCCAGCACTCCTCACTTTCCAGGTGAGGAAACAAGCGCAGTGCAGGTGAGCTGACCCTGTCGAGGTAACAGAGATTTTACCCCACAAATAGACAAAAAGCAAAGAAAATGGACAAATAGTGTTTGAACAAGGCTCTCCTAACTCACAAGGAGATCAGACAAGAGCCGAAGGAACCAAAGCTAAAACTCATTTATTGTCTTCAAACATATATTTATTTTTAATCAAAAAAGAAAACAGTTACGTTGTCCAGATCTTGCATTTTGTTCAAGGAAGGGTGATACACACTTGGTTCCTGGCCTCTCTCTTACAAAATAATGGCTTGAGAACTTCCGAAACGGTAGCAGTCCTAAGGCCGTTTCGGGAGTTGCCCCAGCTCTGTGTTGGCCGTAAGTCGCGTCTGTGGGCATTATCACATCTTGGCCTCCGTAGCTGGGCTTTTCTGGGCTGTTCACTGCAGGGGTCCTCCCTAGGTGGTCAGAGCTGTGGGGGGTGAAGTTCTGGGAGGATTCAGGGGGTCTTGCTGGGTGTGAGGGAAGCAGCCTTGAATCAGATGTTCATGAGTGGGAGTCAGGCTTCTCGCTCCATGTTTATCTCCCACACCACCCCTTCCCCCAAAATCAAAGTCCAGGGGAATGAGGAGTAAAGCATTCCAGAGCAGTGCCTCTCTTCCTTCCCCCTCCCCCCCAAATGCCTACCTCTTCATCCTTGTCCCTGTTAAAAACACCACGGGATGATAAGATCGCCCCACACAATCTTGCTATAAAACGGTCTGTTTCCTCTGCTTGTTATCGGGGTATCAGATCAAAGAAACAGTGCCCAGACCTGGTTATCTAATAACCAAATAAACATCCAGGCAGCCTCCTGGGCCAAGAAAGGGATTGGGGGCGGGGGGCAGCTCTGAATGAGGCAGTGGACAGGCCCAGGTGTGCTGGGCCCCTCTTGGTGACCATTTCTGCCTCCAGAGTGAGCATGCTGGCTCAGCCCAGAGTAGACCAGATCCTCACAACAACCTGCATGTTACAGATGGAGAAACTGAGGCAGGGAAACCAAGTCCCTGACCTTTGGAAGTGCCTGGTGCACCCCTGAGCCTGGCACATGCATCACTACACATCTGCTGAATGAATGAATGAGAGAACAAATGAACTATCACAGAATAAGCACTGGGTTTATCAGAAGACCTGACTTCAAATCTTAATGCTACCACATAGCCACTCATCACAGCCGGCGCCAGGGAGGCGAACTGGTGCCCAGGGCTCACCTTGTAACGGCACGCACTCTTGAGCAGACACAGGTGCCGATAGCCCCTCCAGGTGAATGTCTTCTCAGTTTGAGGCCTGGGTGTCTCCTCCAGTCCCAGCCCTGCAATTCCCTCTGCATCTGTTTCTTCTTCTGTGAAATAGGATGAAGCTGTGCCACCCGGTAGGAATTAGAAGATGAGGTCCCAGAAGTGAGCATTGGGTGCAGGATCCAGTTTTCTCAGGCACTGAGATCCATGGAGAGAAGTTGAAGCTCACACCGCTGGTATGTGCTGGACCCAGAATGGAAACCTGGTCTGGGCTCAAAAGTCTGCCTCCTCAGCCTGAACCTAAACTACTTAGGTCCTCCAGGGAAGGCAGGTTGTGGAAACATCTTGGGCTGTCTGGGAACTCCCCAACCAGCCCTCAAATCTGTATAGGTCTTCTTGCTCTATCTGGCTAGTGTGTGTGTGATGGGGGCTGGGGGACGATGGCACTGGAGGGCTAAACCTAGCACCTGGCACATAAGCGTTCAGTGAATGTGTTTTGAATGAATGTATGAACTGGGTAGATGAATGGACGGGTGAGTGGGTGAGTGAGTGGGTGGATGGATGGATGGGTGGTGGGTAAGTGGGTAGATGTGTGAGTGGGTGAGTGGATGGGTGGATGGGCTAATGGGGTGGATGGGTGGGTGGGGTGGATTGATGAATGAATGGGTGAATAGCTGGATAGGTGAATGGAGGATGAGATGGATGAATGAATAGGTGGATGGGTAGATAGTTGGGTGGATGGATGCATGGATGGTTGGGTGAATGAGTGGATGGGTAGATGAATGAGTGGGTGGATGATAGAGGGATGGGTGGGTAAATGGGTGAATGGGTGGGTGGATGGATAGATAGATGAATGAGTAAATGGGTGAATGGAAGGGTAGGATGGAGGGTGAGATGGATAGGTGGATAGATGGATGGATGGATGGATGAGTGGATGGGTAGATGAATGAGTAGATGGGTCAGAGGGTGAATGGGTTGGTAGGTTAATGGGTGGATGAGTGGGTGGGTAGGTAGGCGAGTTGATGGGTGGATGGGTGAGTGGGTGGATGGGTGGATGAGTGATTGGGTGGGTGGGTTAAGGAGTGAGTGAATGGATAGGTGGATGAGGGAGTTAGTGGGTGGGTGGATGAATAGATGAATGGATGAGTGGATGAACAGGTGATGGCTGGGTAAGTGGGGGCTAATGAGTGGATGGGTGAGTGAGTGGTTGGGTGGATGGTTGGGTTGGTGGATGGATAGGTGAGTGGGTGAGTGGATAGAGAGGTGACGGATGGGTAGGTGGGTGGACTAATGGGTGGGTGGGTGTTTGAGTGGGTGAGTGTATGGGTGGGTGTGTGGATGATGAGCACTGCAGTTGCCACAATTGTTGCGCACACTGAATGGTTTGTGAATTTACTAGTAACAATTCTTTAATGTGTTAACCAAGCTGTGGAGATACATGTTAATCCCTGCTCTTAAGGGGTGCACTTCCACAAAGATGAGGCCTCATGTTCTTGTGAACCGCCTCAGCACCAGTGTGAAAAGCAAGTGCTGCTGAGTGAAGAACAAATGCTTGCTCTTATGTTGCCAGCCTTGTTTGCCTGGGAGGTTTGGGAATTTGTTTTTGTTAAATCTCTGGGTCCCCAGCCCCGCTCAATCCTCTCCCTGATGCCAGGGCCACTCATGGCAGGCTGGGGAATGGTGGCCGAGCAGCTGGGTCTGGCACTAATAGCCTCTCAACACAGCACCCAGGGAGTCAGGTCCCTCTGGTGGTGGAAGTGACCATTTGAAACTATGTAGACCCACCGGGCTTGCAGACAGTCTGTAGAAAGGGTGGGCTGGCTTGGTTTATTTTACTTGCGAAGCAAGAAAATTCAGCCCAAGCGAGGGCTTCTGTTGATGGAGGATGGAGGAGAGGCTGCCCACTCATGGTAGAAGGAAGCCTTCAGGTGTCTAATGGGGCTCAGGTCTAGGTGCCACCACTCATGAGGTACATGACTTTGGGCCTTTGGGCGCAGCCTTCTGAGCCTTGAGTTGCTTATCTGCAAAGAGAGAATCCGCAGGTTTTGGGAGAATGTAACGAGGTGACACAAGTAAAGCCCTCAGTGTGGGGCCTGGTGGGCTGCAGGTCCTTGGTAAGAGGGCAAATGTCACCATTATTTCAGAGGGGACTGGTTAGGTTTGTGGATGAGTGGCTCACATCACCCAAGACCCCATGTTGGGCTCAGCACTGCAGGGTGCTGGAGCTGGGAGGCCTCTGCAGGCCAGGTCCATTCGTTTTCAAATGGCTTCTTGGGAGCCACCTAGAGAGGAGAGGACAGGGAAGGGAGGCAGAGAGGCCAGTCTCTGAGCCTCCTCCTCCCCAGGGTCATCTCAGGGTCATCATAGTGAGTGTTCTTCATGGGGTGGGAAGTGGTGGCCCCTGAGTGTCTATCAAATGTGAAGACTGCAAAGAGGAATCCATGGCGGTCAAAGCCATGGGATACGCGATGATATAGAGAAAGCTAGAAAGCACACTGTCTCCTGAGCAGAAGCATGCGTTCATGTATACCCAGAACACAAATCTGCATGCAAGTGTTGCATGCTTTTCACACGTGTGTGTATCTAAGGCAGTCCATCACACATACTCCAGGGGCTATCTTTTAGGAGGAGGAAGGAAGGAAATGAGTGTGGAGATGGGAGGGGGCAAAGGGAAAAATTTATACAACAAGAAAATAAGACAACTGAGGGTCCCAACATAGACCAAGGTTGTTGGCATGCCATGAACTCAGTAATGTCAAATGCAGATTTCTGTGTCTGGAGTCTAAAAAGTATGATAAGCAAAAGAGACTATGGAGAGACTGAGGCACAGGAAGGGGCAGAGGGATGGCCAAATGGTGGCTGAGTATCACCCAGACACTCAGGTCTCTCTGGTCATGGAACTGACAGTCTGGAGTCACGTAGTCCCACCACTGTGGAAGAGCATGGTTCGGGCTCCATTCTCTGATGTCTGCTCATGTGTGCAGAAGAACTGCTTGGAGCAGGGTCTCACCTTTCCATACCCATTGCCCACCCCCACCCACCACTCATCCACCAGCTGGGTTGCAAGAAAAGGCAGAGCTATTGTGATAGAGTCCTTGTTTTGAGAGGCTTTTGCCAAAGGGGGAGAAAGAAAAGTTCGGGGACATGTGTGGCTTCAAATCATGTCGGTTATAAAGTTTCTTATTAGCCCCCATTATAAAAATCAATATACACCATGGAATACTATGCAGCCATAAAAAAGGATGAGTTTATGTCCTTTGCAGGGACGTGGATAAAGCTAGAAACCATCATTCTCAGCAAACTAATACAAAAACAGACAACCAAACAACTGTATGTTCTCACTCATAAATGGGTCTTGAACAATGAGAACACATGGACACAGGGAGGGGAACATCACACACCAGGGCCTGTTGGGGGGTGGGGATCTGGGGGAGGGATAGCATTAGGAGAAATATCTAATGTAGATGATGGGGTGATGGATGCAGCAAGCCACCATGGCACGTGTATATCTATGTAGCAGACCTGCACGTTCTGCACATGTACCCCAGAACAAAGTAATCAAAAACGAATCAATGTATGCTTTTCACATAGGGTTTTAAAAGCACGAAATTTATTATTTCTCTCCTATTGTAAAATTAAGTGTTCCTAATATACTGCTTGGAAAAAACAAGGTGGAAAGAAGAAAAATGAAAGCCATGCATAGTCCTTCAACCCAGGGACAACCCCTGCTAACGCTTGGATGGATGAATTTTACACCTCCGTGTAAATATTCTGATCTACGGTCAAGTTAATTAATGTAAATGCCTTAAGAAACCATTAACTCCTTAATTTCATCTTTTACGTCAATTTCCTAGTCTTTAAGGAACTGTTAGATGCAAGGCTATGGATGGTGGGGGAGGGACATGAAAAAAGAGACTTGAATTTTTGGCCAAAATCTCCTGCATGTTGGATTTGCCTTTGTTTTGTTTCGCTTTGAGCCTTCTGCCTTGTTAGGCAGCTGTTTGTAAACTTTCTGCTGTTCTGGATTTCAGTCTGGAAGCAGCACGTTGATTTCAAACAGCAATACCTTAAAGGAGGTGGTGTTTGGGAGGCTTACAATCCCCCACCATCAGCTTGCAAGTGGTTCTGTTCTGGCTGGCACGTGACGTCAATAAGAGGCTTGGTCCGTCTCCCAGGGAGCAGGTTAGCTAAATTCGAGGTGAACAGACGGCGCTTTCTGTTTCTCTTCTGGCGGTCTTCCTAGTTTGGGGGTCTTGGGGAATCGGAAAAGCAAAATTTAGGGGCAGGGATCTTACAAGTGCTCACAGCACAACCCGAGCCTGAGACCTTACTTCTTTTTCCCTTCTTTGCCTCTTCTGTTTTTTCAGTTTACAATTAACACTCATGGTTTAGTCTCCACCCCTCCTTCTTGAAATGGAATTTTTATCTCTTGATTCATGCTACAAGATAAAATCCCTGTTTATCCAGTTGCATGAATAATTGATAAGCTCTTTCCAACTTGCCAGAAGCAACTTAGCCGTCTCGCCTTGCGGCCTGGAACCCCTGGCAATTTCCGGAGCATTGGCAAGAGACCTTTGCACAGTTTCTGCATGGAGTCCACTGACTCTGTCTCAGAGGTGGGGGTTTATCTATTGATTCTGATTCGTGAGTTACAGATTAGGCACTGAAGGTTCCAGCACCAGGGATGCGTGGGGCTGGGGGTGGGAGGGGCATGTCAGCATCCTCTAAATTTTCTGAACTCCTGTCTGTCACAGGTGCGGACCTGGACTCCACTGGGAGCACCCCCCCCCCCCCGCCCACCATCCGTCCGGGCTTTAGAGTTCAGAGCATTAATTAACTCTAATCTGTTCCCTGATAGTTTAAAGCAGGCCCAGGATGTGAAGGCATTTTCTTTCCTGCATAGTTAATGGACTTAATGAGATAACAATGAGAATCTGTGTTTAGGCTCTGTAGCGCTTTTGGCTCTCTGGCCATGTTTATATGATAAAAGGCAGTGGGCTGTTATTTATGCACTTAGCTGGGGTTTATTCTTTTTAAACAGGCCTAGACAGCTACTTGTTGTATTTGGCTCATGCTAGCTTAAAAGGGGAATTTATAGACCTTACTGCAGAATGTCCCAGTTCTTCAAGGCCAAGGTAAATGCGAGTTGGGGTGGTAGCAAAGTTGCAAACTGCCCCTAAGAAAAAAGGTTAATAAGATAGTGTTCCTTCCACCCCAGCAGCCCTCCTACAGGGCT